TTAAAACTTTCGTGACTGCAAGGATTCATCTTCTTTGGTTCTTTCGGTAAAGTCACGTAGAATGAGAACAAAATAATAAATTATCAATTTAGAATGAGAATAAAATAATAATATTCTCATAATAATAATATTCTCATTCTACGTGACTTTACTGAAAGAACCAAAGAAGATAAACCAGCGACTCGGCGCCCCTTTCCCTGTGACGAGGGGGGTCAGACAGGGATGCCCCCTCTGGGGGCTGCTGTACACCCTTTCCATTGAGCTACTGCTACGCCACCTGAGACGAAATCTGACTGGCCTCAAAGTCCTGGGACCTGAGAACGCGGTCATCAAGCTCTCGGCTTACGCAGACGACATATGCGTCGTCCTCAATGACGCGCATGACGCCTCCGTGCTCTGCCAGCCGGTTGCAGTATACGAGAGGGCCTCTTCCGCCAGGGTCAACTGGCCCAAGTGCGAGGCCTCCTGTGTATTTGGGGTCACGAGGCGGCGTTCGCTCTGTACTCCTCCCAAGAGAAGTCGTTTGGTGGGATGACAGAGTCAAGTACCTGGGGATTTACCTGGGGAAACCACGTGATGTCGTTCTGAACAACTGGACCGAGCTGGCCGACACAATCGAGGCTAAATTACTGACATGGGCATGCCTCGTTCCGCAGATGTCATTCAGGGGCCAAGTGCTCATCGCTAACACCCTGGCTGCATCCGTGCTGTGGCACAAGACCAAGGCCTTCCAGCCTCCTGCTTGGCTACTCACCAGAGTCAACCGCTCACTCGCGCACTTCGTCTGGCATGGAAAGCACCGGCTCAGGCCGGGCGTTCTCTGCCTGCCGGTGGCCGAGGGCGGCCAGGGTCTGGTGGACGTCGCCGCCAGGGTCATGAGTTTCAGGCTCATGGCAGTCAAGCGGCTGCTGTACGACCGGGAGGAGCTACCCTGGAAGTTGCCGGCCCACGCCCTAATGAAGAATGCAGGGGGGTGCCTGGGGTACGGAAAGGAGCTCTTCCTGATGGACCTGAGCCTGGTCGACTACACGAGGCAGCCAGGTTATCACCAGAGCCTCTTGGACGCGTGGCGGAGCTTCGAGTGGAGCAGAACGCGCGCGCCCTACGACCTCGCGCAGTTCCTCAACGAGCCCTTGTTCTGCAACGGCCTCTTACAGGGAATCAGAGGAGAGAGGACCCTGGCTCAGTGTCTCACATCAGCAGGGCTGCGGACAGTCTTCCACCTCGTGCAGGCCCACCAGCCCAAGTGGAAGACCGCAGCTGAGATCACCAACACTGCAGGGCTCCGCTCCATGCTCGCCGGGGAGAAGCTGCTGCGGGACGTGCTCCACGCCATGAAGGAGCTGCGCCTGAAGCTGGAGGCGCCGGGGGATGGTGGCAGCCCGCCACCCCCCTCCTCCTCTTTCCTGGAGTTGTGCTTCTCCTGCGCGCAGCCCCCAATGCCACAGCGATTCCGGCAAGCTACTGAAGCTCCGAGGCTGCAGGAACGTGCCCCTCAAGAGTGCCCCAAACACAGCGCTCTGCACGTGGCTGTGTCGGCATTCCCGGGACCTGGCCGACCTACCGGACACAAAATGGAGAGACCATTTCTCTCCCCTCATTGCGGCCGCCCCTCAGTGGAAACAAATGTACAAGTCTCGCGTAGCCATACGCTGCGGTGACCTCCAGTGGAGGTTGGCACACTGCACGTTGCTATCGGCCGTGTGGCTCAGCCGAATCGCCAGGGGTAACAGACTTGGTGCATTTCCTGCGGTGCCAGGGAGGATCTGCCCCACTAGTACTTACACTGCCAGCGGCTCAAACCAATGTTCCACCTTTTGGGGGGCGTCTTCAGGCAACTGGGGGTACCCTTCTACAACAGCAGCTTCGTATATGGGGTGCCTTACCTGGCTAACAAACGCCAGAACGAGAAAAAAGATGCTGGAAGGTGACACTGACGGCTGCCCCGTGCTTCCAGTGTTCAGAGGCCTGCTTAAGGCGCGGCTCCGGCTGGAGCACGCGTACCACACACATGTTGGTGATGTGCACGTCTTCTTTGAACGCTGGGGAGCCGGAAAAGCCCTCTGTACTAGCGTGGACGGCACCCCACGTGTTCACCTTCTGAAGCGCTCGCTCGTCACCGTGGCGTGCGCGAATGACCACCACAAACACGTGACTTTCTTTCATGTTGTGCGCGGTGTTTTTTAGCGCCACAACGCGTGGATTTGTAGCGTTTATTTTCATTTGCTTGCTGGTGACTTTGTGTATTTCATATCGAAATCGCCTCCAGTGCTTCTGCTGCTGGCGGCAATAAAAGTTGTTTAAAAGTCAGGTCTCTCTCTCCGTGTCTCTCTTCCCGTGTCTCTCTACCCGTGTCTTTCTCTCCGTCTCTCTCTCTCCGTGTCTCTCTCTCTCTCTCCGTGTCACTATCTCTCTCCGTGTCTCTCTCTCCGTGTCTCTCTCCGTGTCTCTCCGTGTCACTCTCTCTCCGTCTCTCTCTCCGTGTCTCTCTCCGTATCTCTCCGTGTCTCTCTCTCCGTGTCTCTCCGTGTCTCTCTCTCTCCGTGTCTCTCTCTCCATGCCTCGCTCTCTCCGCGTCTCTCTCTCCGTGTCTCGCTCTCTCCGTGTCTCTCTCGCCGTGTCTCGCTCTCTCCGTGTCTCTCTCGCCGTGTCTCTATCTCCGTGTCTCTCTCTCCGTGTCTCTCTCTCCGAGTCTCTCTCCGTGTCTCTCTCGCCTTGTCTCTCTCTCTCTCCGTGTCTCTCTACCCATGTCTCTCTCTCCATGTCTCTCTCGCTCCCCGCACCGCCGTTATGTTAATGAGCTCGCGGCGTTCAAAGCGCTGTCAGTCAACGCGCGCAGATGAAACAGCACGGAGAGCTTGCGGAATCTCGAGGGGGGCCCGACGAGACCCCCCCCCCCCACGGCCCCAGCGAGGGACTCGCTTTCATCCAGCCGAGGGGGTGGGGGGGGCAGTGGGGGGCTGGCGAGATGGGGGGGGGGGGGGGTGGTGGGACGGGCGGTGCGGTGGGGGGGGTTCAGGTAGCAGCCACCGACGGGACGAGTCTCCTCCGAGCGAGCCGGGGCTCGGGTTGGTGTCCAGCTCACAGCATTCGCTTGGATGGGGCAGAGAAGCTGAGAGCGTGGAGGGGCACTTGGGAGTGAAGTGGCGTGCGGGGACCCGGCGGGGAGGGGGTGAAGGGGTCTGATAAGGGACTGTTGAGGACCTCCATAGGGGGACCTATGACCCAGTTGCCACTTTGACCAGAGGGAGAGACAGGGATCCACCGACCCTGCCCTTTGATCACTTGCCATGTCACTGGCCCTGCCCTTTGATCACTTGCCATGTCACTGACCCTGCCCTTTGACCACTCGCCATGTCACTGACCCTGCCCTTTGACCACTAGCCGTGTCACTGACCCTGCCCTTTGACCACTCGCCATGTCACTGACCCTGCCCTTTGACCACTCGCCATGTCACTGACCTTGCCCTTTAACCACTCACCATGTCACTGACCCTGCCCTTTGATCACTCGCCATGTCACTGACCCTGCCCTTTGATCACTCACCATGTCACTGACCTTGCCCTTTAACCACTCGCCATGTCACTGACCCTGCCCTTTAACCACTCGCCATGTCACTGACCCTGCCCTTTGATCACTCGCCATGTCACTGACCCTGCCCTTTGACCGCTCGCCATGTCACTGACCCTGCCCTTTGACCGCTCGCCATGTCACTGACCCTGCCCTTTGATCGCTCGCCGTGTCACTGACGCTGCCCTTTGACCGCTCGCCATGTCACTGACCCTGCCCTTTAACCACTCGCCATGTCACTGACCCTGCCCTTTGATCACTCGCCATGTCACTGACCCTGCCCGTTGACCACTCGCCATGTCACTGACCCTGCCCTTTGACCACTCGCCATGTCACTGACCCTGCCCTTTGACCACTCGCCATGTCACTGACCCTGCCCTTTGACCACTCGCCATGTCACTGACCCTGCCCTTTGACCACTCGCCATGTCACTGACCCTGCCCTTTGACCACTCGCCATGTCACTGACCCTGCCCTTTGACCACTCGCCATGTCACTGACCCTGCCCTTTGACCACTCGCCATGTCACTGACCCTGCCCTTTGACCACTCGCCATGTCACTGACCTTGCCCTTTGCGCGGTGCTCTGCTTTGAAGTCGTTTTTATTTCCCGCGCTCGTGACGTCACCGTCACGTGACTCGGCGTTGCCTGGAGACGCGAGGGACGCGAGGCAGCCGCCTTCCTGCTGCTGCCGCCGCTGTTGGAGACGCGGGGATAGAGGGGGACAGTGGGACAGGAGGACAGGGACCCCGAGGGGGACACGGGGACAGGGGGACAGGGGGACACGGACCCCGAGTGGGACAGGGGGACAGGGACCCCGAGAGGGACAGGGGAACAGGGACCCCGAGTTGGACAGGGGGACAGAGACCCCGAGTGGGACAGGGGGACAGGGACCCCGAGTGGGACAGGGGAACAGGGACCCCGAGTGGGACAGGGGGACAGGGGGACACGGACCCCGAGTGGGACAGGGGGACAGGGGACAGGGACCCCGAGTGGGACACGGGGACAGGGGGACAGGGGGACACGGACCCCGAGTGGGACAGGGGGACAGGGACCCCGAGAGAGACAGGGGGACAGGGACCCCGAGAGGGACGGGGGGACAGGGGACACGGACCCCGAGTGGGACAGGGGGACACGGGGACACGGGGACAGGGACCCCGAGTGGGACAGGGGGACAGGGGGACAGGGGGACAGGGACCCCGAGAGGGACAGGAGGACACGGGGACACGGACCCCGAGAGGGACAGGGGGACACGGGGACAGGGGGACAGGGACCCCGAGTGGGACAGGGGGACAGGGGGACAGGGACCCCGAGTGGGACCGGGACCCCGAGTGGGACAGGGGGACAGGGACCCCGAGAGGGACAGGGGGACAGGGACCCCGAGTGGGACAGGAGGACAGGGGGACAGGGACCCCGAGTGGGACAGGGGGACAGGGGGACAGGGACCCCGAGAGGGACAGGGGGACAGGGACCCCGAGAGGGACAGGGGGACACGGACCCCGAGTGGGACAGGGACCCCGAGAGTGACAGGGACCTCGAGAGGGACAGCGAACCGAAAGAGACAAGGTACACTCATCATCATCAGTAGCTACATCATCACCTGTGGGTACATCATCATCATTTCCCTTATCGCCATCATAATCACCATCATCATTTACCGTCATCATAATCATCATCATCATTATCGTCATCATTGCCATCATCATAATCATCATTATCGTCATCATAATCACCATCATCATCACCGTCATCATAATCATCATCATTATCGTCATCATTACCATCATCATAATCATCACTATCGTCATCATAATCACCATCATCATTACCGTCATCATAATCATCATTATCGTCATCGTAATCTTATTCATAATCATCATTATCGTCATCGTAATCATCATCATTTTCGTCATCATTACCATCATAATCATCATTACCGTCATCACAATCACCATCATCATTATCGTCATCATCATAATCACCATCATCATTATCGTCATCATAATAATCACCATCATAATCATTATTTACCGTCGTCATCAACAGAAACATCGACATCATCGTCGTCGTCTTTCTGATGCTCTTCAGATGCTGACCCTGCCGCCCATCGTCAAGGGCTCTGAGGCCCGATCGGGGGCCCAAGGTGGGAAGCCGCAGGGATCAGGGACGACCCCCACCAAGGGGACCTCCCAGCACAGGAGGGGTCCCGCGAGTCTGGGGGCCCGGGAGCCTGAGGCCGGGGGTCGCACCACTCACAGGTGAGAGGGGCTACAGGTGAAGGGGGTTAATGTAAAGGGGGGGGGGGTGCAGGTGAAGGGGCTTCAGGTGAGAGGGGCTACAGGTGAAGGGGGTTAATGTAAAGGGGCAGGGGTGGTGCAGGTGAAGGGGCTTCAGGTGAGAGGGGGTTCAGGTGAAGGGGGTTAATGTAAAGGGGGGGGGGGGTGCAGGTGAAGGGGCTACAGGTGAGAGGCTGTTCAGGTGAAGGGGCTGCAGTTAAGGGGGTGCAGGTTAAGGGGGTGCAGGTTAAGGGGGTTCAGGTTAAGGGGGTGCAGGTTAAGGGAGTTCAGGTGAAGGGACTTAAGGTGAAGGGTGTTAATGTAAAGGGGCTTCAGGTGAGAGAGGGTTCAGGTGAGGGGGGTTCATGCGAGGAAGGGGGTTAATGTGGTGTATGTATGTATGTTGAGCGTCTTTCGCACCGTACGTAGCCAACCGTGCTAATCGGAAGTGCGCGGGAAGGACAAGGTTAAGGGGGTTCAGGTGAAGGGGCTTCAGATGAAAGAGGGTTCAGTTGCGAGGGGGTTCAGGTAAGGGGTGGGGGGTGGTTTAGTCAGGGGGTTCAGGTAAGGAGGGGTTCGTGTGAGAGAGGTTCAGGTGAGAGGAGTTCAGACGAGGAGGGGTTCAGGGGAGGGGAGTTCAGGTGAGAGCGGTTCAGGTGAGAGCGGTTCAGGTGAGAGCGGTTCAGGTGAGCAGGGGCCGTGTGAGGGGGGTTCAGGTAAGAAGAGGTTCAGGTGCGAGGGGGTTCAGCTTCGGGTGGGGGGGAGGGGGGGTTCAGGTGAGAGGGGTTCAGGCAAGGGGGTCTCGACCCCTCGCACAGTGGTTTCTCGTGTTCTCCAGGGCGCCCGTCACCCCTCTTCTCTGACCCCGCAGGGCGGCGCGGAGACAGAACGGGGGTCTGGCGCTGGATTCGCCCCCCGCTGAAGTTGAGAGCGAGCGGCGCCCCCCCCGCACGGAGACAGTGGCGTACGCACAAATTAGGGTTACACACACACACACACCTGTACCGCACAAAGAACCCCGGTAATAGCCTTTAACAGGCTGTAGGGGCAAGTGCTGTTAGCGAGCACCTATGAAGGCCGGCTCGGCACACGAGGGGGTGGGTGGCCAGCACCACGCCCGGCCGCCTTTGTCCCCCCGGCCGCAATGTTTACTACACACCGCACCGGGTACTCATTTGAGGTTGAGACGACCTAGGGTAGGCCCAGGACCGGTTCAGATAATCGTCACCGGTGTTGTTCGTGAGCGCAGTGCGTTAACCGCTACACTCCTCAGCCAACCGTGCTACAATCGGAGGTGCGCGCACACACCTGTACACCAACCACCAACAACCGCCGTGACGTCACCACGGCACTTGTGCCAGGCTACGTGCACGTTGAGGTCACGTGAAGTGTCGAACGCCCGCCGGCAGGAGGGCACGTGCCTGTGTTGGGTGTCGACCCGTGCCTGTGCTGTGTGTCGACCCGTGCCTGTGCTGTGTCGACCCGTGCCTGTGCTGTGTGTCGACCCGTTCCTGTGCTGTGTGTCTTCCCGTGCCTGCGCTGGGTGTCGACCCTTGCCTGCGCTGGGTGTCGACCCGTGCCTGTGCTGTGTGTCGACCCATGCCTGTGCTGTGTGCGCAGGCTGCGCGTGGACCCGCTGCGTGATGTGTGCACCTCCCTGCTCCGTGACGGCCACGTGGGCGCCTTCGCGGAGCTGTTCCGCGCTGTGCGGGAGCGGCGCGCCGCGCGCCTCGCCGCTGACCCCGGCTCCGCGCTCGCCCTGGAGCCGCCTCTGGAGCAGCAGCCGCGGGAGCTGTGCGACCTGGCGGCCCTGCTCAGCCGCGCGGAGGACGCGGCGAGGGCCGGTAGTGCACGCGGGGACAATTGGGGGGGGGGCACGGTAGCGTCGATTTGGTTGGGAGATGCGGGCACAATTCGTTTGGTAGTCCATGGGGGGCGCGGCTGGGTTGGTGCTGAAAGGGGGGGGGTACAGCTGGGTTGGGTTGGTGGTGCAGGAAGGCGGGCGTAGCTGGTGAGGGTGGTGGTGGTGTTTGTTGTTGCCGATGCTGTTGTTGATGATGTCCATGTTAGTGGTGTTGACGGTCATGGTCGTGTTGAAGGTGATGGTAGCCTAGGTGGTGATATCAGTGGTGATGATTATCGTGGTAATGATATCGACTATGGTGATGGGTAGCTTTGATGGTTAATGATGATGATGGCAGTGTCGATGGTGGCGATGTTAAAGATGTGTGTGCGTGCGCACGCTGCCCGCGATGCCAGGAGACGCAGACGCACAGTGCCAGACGCTGCTCTCCATGGCCGAGCGCTTCAGGGGCAGTGACGTGGCCCCGTGGCTGGAGGGCCGCGCCCTGCGCCTGTGCCTGGAGGCGGCGCGCGAGGCAGGCGGGGGGCCACGCGAGGCCGAGGCCCTGGCACGGCTTGGGGAGGCGCGACATGGCCACGGTGAGAGCCCTCACCGACTCGGGGAACTTGCCAAGGGGCCGGTATGGGGAATTTGTCCAGGGCTTAAGACTCCAGAGGGGCCCACACGCTAAAACGACACGCACATGGTTTTTATGAAGTGTATTCTCATTCAGCTTTTTATTGTGCGTGACATAAACGTGCACTTTATTCGCGTGGCAAAGTGGCTCGCGCAGTGCACCGTGGACCCAGCGAGCCGAGTGCGATTCCCGGTCACTGCTAATATCAGTGGTGAGTGACATCTGAACCGGTGCCGACACGGATTCCAAAATCAGCATCTGTATTTGGGCTAGAAGAATCCGATGAGCTATGAAGCTTTCACCGATGTCCGATATCTTTCCTTGGCACGTCCGATTCGGCATCCCTGGAAGTAACCGTGACTCTGGCCGGTGATTGGCAGCTCGCGCGTGATTTCGAAAGTTCCTCTTCGGTGTGAATTCATTGGCAAAAAAAAAACAAATGGCTCTTTTTTGCATGCCCCGTCCGAGAGTGCAAATGCGTGCTACCCCTGCTGAAAACCCACTGGGAAAATCCCAAGATACCGAGAGGGAACCCCAGGAAACTGAGGCACAGAAACATTGGTCTGTAGTGAACAAGGACTAACGCAGCAGGCAAGGAAGGGCGAGCCTACTCGTGCAGAAACGAGGATGGGGTTTACGACATGAGTATGCATTGTCGCAATGGACTGTCCACCACTTAGTAAACAATGCCTCCCCTCCTTTAGTAATTAAAATAATAATGCCCTGGGATAGTTGTGATTAGTTCCTAGTGTTTATCATAGAAAGACAAAACTTTTGGAGCTGACGCCTTCCATTAGACCTGAGCCATCGGCAGCATCAGTAGCTGCTGGAGAGAAACTACAGTGAATAGAGCTGAATTACGTACAACATGGGAATCCAATGCATGGCCGTGGGACACTCAAAATCTCGTACGACTGTGATTCCCAGGGGTAACGACCCGCGAGACGTGATGCGTTTACTTTTGGCGTCTTCAAGTGTGACCCCCATCCCAAGACGCCGGAGAGAAACGGTGTGCATGTTTGTTTTATAGACAGAAGAGGCAGTCATAGGCAGAGGAGGAGGGCCCTGAGTATGGAGTTTACAGCACAGACGGCTGGGGGAAGGGAGTTCCGGACGATGGGGACAGCAAAAGAGAACGAACGAACTCTCGCTGAGCGACGCTTGACTGAGAGCTTCCACGGAGAGCATTGTCTGCTGGGGCGGAGAGTGCATCGAGAGGGGAGCAGGGTGAGATGAGAGGGGTGAGATAGGAGAGTGTGCAGAGGGGAGTAGAGTGAGGTGACCTACGTGTGGTTTTGTGGGAGTAAGTCTGGTAGGGGGGGGGCATGAAATAAGTGCCCTGGGATAGCTGTGATTAGTTCCCGGTGTTTATCACAGAAAGACAACACTTTTGGAGTTGACTCCTGTATCACGCAGGGGACCTGGAGGGGGCCCTGCCGATTCTGCGGGATTACCACGCGCTGGTGCGGGCCCAGGGTTGGCGGGACGCGTCGGGACGGGAGCACGAGGCGCGCTCCTCCACCCTGCTCAGCCGCCTCCTCACGGAGCTCGGCCGCCGGGCCCTGGATAGAGGAGAGGCCCATGAATCGCTGGGGCCCCTGCAGGAGGCCCTGAGCCTCGCCTGTCACGGTGAGGGACCCTACGGCCGCGGAGGGGCGGCCCAGACAGTTCTTATCGAGCAGCCACGCACACCCCCTGGGCTTTTGAGTGTTCGGGCGGTGGGGGGGGCTGCGAAGAGCCCATCTCTTTAAAAGCTGAAGTCGCTGACACGAACCTCGGTCAGCCACTAGGCGTCGCTCGATAGACCGTCTGACGCCGTGGCCAGTGCCGCGGGACAAGTTACCGAATTCACTCCGCAGAGTCAAAAAAAAAGCGCCGATAGCGGAGCCGCAACGCAGGTGTGGAATCGCTCGTGAATCTGCACCGCCGCCCTAGTAGAGTCGCTAGGATGTTGTCGCTCGTCGCTTTGAACTTTCCCTTTCAAGTTGCGTCTGTCTCAGATGGGGAACTATGAAGCGTGGCTCATTCTCTCGAGACGGAATCTGAACGTTGACCCCCGGCCCCGCCCCTCCACCTCCCCCCTCCCGGGGGGGTCGTGAACTCTGCGTGGGGGCGCAGGGCAGGAGAGCCGCGCACAGCAGGAGGCCTCCTACTGGCTCGGCCTGGCGCTGCTGGACACGGGTGACACCGACTCGGCACTGCAGGTACCATCCTCGCCTACCCGGGGCCGCGGAGGATCGAGAAACCTCCCGGGGGGGGGGGGGGGGGGGGGGGGGGCACGGGCAGGTGGTGGGGAGGGCGATCCCGAAATGTAAAGGTTTTTTATAGGGCTCTAGGTGGGAGGAGGGGGGGTGGTGATTGCTCTCATCGTACCCCCCCCACCCGATCCTCCACTGCCCCAGGGCCGATTTGTAAGGACACGCGAACTCTCCCCATTCTTGTTTCGTGTGGTGGCCAGGACTTGCTGAGCCCCGCTTCTGTGCCCACGTGGAGGTTGGTGAGTCAGAATCAGAATATTGATTTACACCGGAGGTGTCCGAGGAACTGTAAAGCGCTTTTTTTTGTCTCAGATGTCAGTAGACGGCTTTGGCAGCAGCCTCATGGTGAACAGGTGGAACCATGCAGCTGCGCGAAAATGCGAAAATTGCGCAGTGACGTCTCCACGTGGTGCATGGTTTGAGATACAGACTCACGCGAGGCCCCCAACCCTGCTTAGCTTGTGAGGTGTGATGGGATGGGGCACTGCGCTCGGGGTGATTTATGGTGTTAATATATATATAGTTCCCTGTTTTGTGTCCAAGCGGTTTTGCTCCCGATGCGGAGACGTTGCATTAACGTTGCGGCGCGGTCATCGTGAGGGGCGGCGCGGGGGGAAGCGCCAGCCGGGACGGCGGGCGCGAGCCGTGCCCAGCGCCGCCGCCCCCCCCCCCCCGATCTGCCCGACCCGTTGCGTTCGCGTTATGCATTATTGATGTTTCGTTGCGTCGAATTAAGTCTGTGCCGTGTCTTCGGCCGCGTTTAATCTTTGTTGCGACGCGAGCTGCTAAGCGCGGCGCCCGGATTTCTGCGCGCGGAGTGCGTGGAAGCTCCGACGACGCAGACGCCGCTTTGTTCGTAAGCACAGCTGAGGGCCCAAATTCAGACTCAAATTGAAGGGAGACCTGGGCGCAACGAGCACAGGCATGAGAGATGAAAGTGAGATGACAGTTCCACGGTGCGTGAGACCTGGAGGTACACAACAGGGGCCTGGGCGAGAGACAAGAGACACCTCCGAACTCATTTGCCTGGACAGGCGCACGAGAATTGGACGGGTCTAAGTCGAACTCTGCGAACCATGGGGTTTTATGCCTTGGGATTGGTTCGTGGGAACTCGTGTCTGAGTTAGAGTCTGGATCTGAGTTAGAGACCGGCTCTGGGTTCATGGGGACGAGAGACTGGGTTAGGGTCTGGGTCCGGTGGGACAGCGGGAGCCACGCAGCGTCCACGAGTGAGAAGTTGCGTGCCTGAGTGCCCGTGTGGCCCCTACGGGCCGGCTGATAATGCCCCCATCTGAAACGGAATTAATCATTTATTCTGCGCATTCCATTACTTGAAGGCACAAGAAAAATGTGAGTTTAGTTTTAATCTTTAATCACGCTCGCTCCTACAGAAGCCGCTGCGCTACTGCTTACGGCGATCGCGCCTCTACATTAATCATGAGCCACGGTGTCGGCGTGCGGGGGGGGGGGCGATGAAGGGCGGGAATGAGGGGGGCTGAAAGGTGAGGAAGGTGAGGGGGACGGGTGTCTGCCCTGCAAGGCGCACAACTCTGAGAGACGCTCACCTGCGCTCACCTGTGTTGAGCTTCTTCTACTACCACCGACACGACCGCGCCTGTATTGAGAGGTTACCACCTGCGCTCACCTCCACCGGGAACCCCGAGTGTACCTATGCTGAGATGCTCTCCTGCACTACGGGACGCTCACCTGCGCTCACCTGCGCGGAGGCACGCGCGTGAAAGCGCCCGCGCCGAGACACTGACCCCAGCCGCTAATGGCGTGCCGCCTCCTCCTCCTCCTGCATCCCCGCGTCTCCCCCCCCCCCCCGCCGCCGCCCTGCAATCCCCGTCCCCTCTTGCCCCGCTGCCCCTCTGCTCCCTGCCCCGGTGACCCGTGACCCCGCTGCCCACGACCCCTGCGCGCCCCGCAGCGCCTGCTCGCCGCCGAGGAGTTGTCGGCGGCGCTGAAGGACGCGGCCGCGAGGACCCGCGCCGCACGCTCCGTGGCGGAGGCGCTGCTCAGGTACCGGTGGGGGCCCCGGTGGCGAGGGTCGAGCTGGGAAAGGGGTCCGAGGGGGGTAGTGGTCGTGGGGGTGTGACCAGTGCCGGATTAAGCTCGTGCGGGCCTGTAGCATATGCTATAAAGGGGGCCCTAAATAAATAAAAAACATTAAAACGCAAATTTTTACTTGCACAGTAAAGTAATTGTTTTTTTTCATTTGCTCTACAGCCAGATAATACGACAAATCCCTAACCTTAAACACCCACTCGTTCATAAAAGTTGAAGGCGGTATAGTACTATAGTGATAGAGCAAGTGTAGAATCACTGAACCGGAATTGATAGCTTGAAATCGTTTAGCCCGGTGCCCTTGAAAGTACGGGGGCCGTAGCTACTACATGTGGTAGCTACTACATACTGTATGTGTAGTAGCTACTACATGTGTAGGAGATACTACATGTGTAGCAGCTACATATGTGTAGTAGCACATGTATTAGCTACTACACATGTAGTAGCTACTACATGTGAAGTAACTACTACATGTGTAGGAGCTACTACATGTATAGTAGTAGCTGCTACACATGTGTAGGAGCTACTACTACATGTGTAGTAGTAGCTGCTACACATGTAGTAGCTACTACTACACATGTAGTCGCTACTACACATGTGTAGTAGCACATGTAGTAGCTACTACACATATGTAGTAGCTGCTACATGTGTAGTAGCTACTACATGTGAAGTAACTACTACATGTGTAGTAGCTGCTACATGTGAAGTAACTGCTACATGTAGTAGCTACTACATGTGTAGTAGCTGCTACATGTGAAGTAACTACTACATAAGTAGTAGCTGCTACATGTGTGTAGTAGCTGCTACATGTGTGTAGTAGCTACTACATGTGCGTAGCTACTACACACATGTAGTAGCTGCTACATGTGTAGCTACTACACACATGTAGCAGCTACTACATGTGTGTAGTAGCTGCTACATGATGATGATGTTGCTGCTGCTGCTGATGATGATGTTGATGATGATGTTGCTGATTATGTTAATGATGATGATGTTGATGATGATGTTGATGATGATGATGATGTTGATGATGATGTTGATGATGATGTCGATGATGATGTTGATGATGATGTTGATGATGATTTTGCTGATGATGTTTATGATGATGTTGATGATGATGTTGATAATGATGTTGATGTTGATGTCGCTGATGATGTTGATGATGACGTTGATGATGATGTTGCTGATGATGTTGATGATGATGTTGCTGATGATGTTGCTGATGATGTTGATGATGTTGATGATGATGTTGATGATGATGTTGATGATGTTGATGTTGATGATGATGTTGATGTTGCTGATGATGTCGCTGATGATGTTGATAATGATGTTGATGATGATTTTGCTGATGATGTTGATGATGATGTTGATGATGATGTCGCTGATGATGTTGATGATGATGTTGATGATGATGATGTTGATGATGATGTTAATGATGTTGACGATGATGTTGATGTTGCTGATGATGTCGCTGCTGATGTTGATAATGATGTTGATGATTTTGCTGATGATGTTGATGATGATGTTGATGATGATGTTGATGATGATGTCGCTGATGATGTTGATGATGATGTTGATGATGATGTTGATGATGATGTTGATGATGAATGCTGCGAATGGTAATGACCCGGAGCATGGTGATGATGGTGATGATTGTGATGATTGCTGATAATGCTGCTCACGATGGTGATTCTGCTGCTGCTCTTGATATTTGTTCGTCTGCTACGGCTCATATTGCATATGCTTCGAGTATTTACGCTGCTGCTGATGATGAATCAGCTACTGTTGCTGATAATACTCATGGTACTACTGCTGATGTTCATGGTACTACTGCTGATGTTCATGGTACTACTGCTGATGTTCATGGTACTACTGCTGATGCTCATGGTGCTGCTACTGCTTCCGACTGGTAGAGGCCCCTGCTGGTTGTGGCGGTGGTGGTGGTTGTTGTTGTTTAGTGGGGGGTGGGGTTGGGGGTAGACGCCGTGTCAGGTCAGGAGGTGGCCCCCGTTGTTTAATCCCGCGGCCCTCGGACGTCTTTAGATCGCGGCGGCGATGCGATCGATGTGGAGGCGCATGGGCAAACAGGGCCACGATGTTATTGCTCTTAACCCCTCGGCCCGCGCCGCGACGCACGCGTTATTACTCGGCCGATCCTCGCCGTGCCCACGGGACGGGACGGAGCGCTCATATCTCAGCTGGCGCAGAGACGGGGGGGAGACGGCGTGATGGGGGTGCGTGGCGGGTTTGGGGGGGGTGGTCGTGTTTGTTTTCCCGGCTCAGGTAATAAGCGCTGCCGGTCCCACCTGGGCGATCACTGCCGGAACGGAACGCGCGTACCGTGTATGTGAGTGTTTGAGTATGTGAGTTGTGTTTGTTTGATTATGTGAGTGCGTGTGTGAGTGTTGGAGTATGTGAGTGTATGTGAGTGTTTGAGTGAGTGTGTTTGTTTTATTATGTGAGTGCGTGTGTGAGTGTTGGAGTATGTGAGTGTGTGTGAGTGTTGGAGTATGTGAGTGAGTTTGTTTGATTATTACGTGGGTGTTTGAGTATGTGAGTGTGAGTGAGTGTTGGAGTATGTGAGTGTGCGTGAGTGTTGGAGTATGTGAGTGCGAGTGAGTGTTGGAGTATGTGAGTGTGAGTGAGTGTTGGAGTATCTAAGTGTGAGTGAGTGTTGGAGTATGTGAGTGTGTTTGTTTGATTATGTGAGTGCGTGTATGAGTGTTGGAGTATGTGAATGTGTGTGTGAGTGTTGGAGTATGCGAGTGAGTGTTGGGATATGTGAGTGTGTGTGAGTGTTGGAGTATGTGAGTGGTGAAGTATGTGAGTGTGTGTGTGAGTGTTGGAGTATGTGAGTGGTTGTGAGTGTTGGAGTATGTGAGTGTGTGTGTGAGTGGTGGAGTATGTGAGTGTGTGTGAGTGTTGTAGTATGTGAGTGTGAGTGAGTGTTGGAGTATGTAAGTGTGAGTGAGTGTTGGAGTATGCGAGTGTGTTTGAGTGTGAGAGTATGTGAGTGTGTTTGTTTGATTATGTGAGTGCGTGTGTGAGTGTTGGAGTATGTGAATGTGTGTGTGTGTTGGAGTATGTGAGTGAGTTTGTTTGATTATTACGTGAGTGTTTGAGTATGTGAGTGTGAGTGAGTGTTGGAGTATGTGAGTGTGTGTGAGTGTTGGAGTATGTGAGTGTGTGTGAGTGTTGGAGTATGTGAGTGTGCGTGAGTGTTGGAGTATTTGAGTGCGAGTGAGTGTTGGAGTATGTGAGTGTGAGTGAGTGTTGGAGTATGTAAGTGTGAGTGAGTGTTGGAGTATGTGAGTGTGTTTGTTTTATTATGTGAGTGCGTGTGTGAGTGTTGGAGTATGTGAATGTGTGTGTGAGTGTTGAAGTATGTGAGTGTGAGTGAGTGTTGGAGTATGTGAGTGTGTGTGAGTGTTGGAGTATGAGTGAGTGGTGGAGTATGTGAGTGTGTGTGTGAGTGTTGGAGTATGTGAGTGTTGGAGTATGTGAGTGTGTGTGTGAGTGGTGGAGTATGTGAGTGTGTGTGAGTGTTGTAGTATGTGAGTGTGAGTGAGTGTTGGAGTATGTAAGTGTGAGTGAGTGTTGGAGTATGTGAGTGTGTTTGAGTGTGAGAGTATGTGAGTGTGTTTGTTTGATTATGTGAGTGCGTGTGTGAGTGTTGGAGTATGTGAATGTGTGTGTGAGTGTTGGAGTATGTGAGTGTGTGTGAGTGTTGGAGTATGTGAGTGAGTGGTGGAGTATGTGAGTGTGTGTGTGAGTGTTGGAGTATGTGAGTGTGTGTGAGTGTTGGAGTATGTGAGTGTGTGTGAGTGTTGTAGTATGTGAGTGTGTGATGGAGTATGTGAGTGTGTGTGAGTGTTGGAGTATGTGAGTGTGTGTGTGAGTGTTGGAGGATGTGAGTGTGCGTGAGTGTTGGAGTATGTGAGTGTGTGTGAGTGTTGGAGTATGTGAGTGTGTGTGAGTGTTGGAGTATGTGAGTGCGTGTGAGTATTGGAGTATGTGAGTATGTGTGAGTGTTGGAGTATGTGAGTGTGTGTGAGTGTTGGAGTATGTGAGTGAGTGTTGGAGTATGTGAGTGAGTTTGTTTGATTATTACGTGAGTGTTTGAGTATGTGAGTGTGTTTTCTGAGTACGTGAGTGCGTGTGAGTGTTGGAGTATGTGAGTGTTTTTTTTATTATGTGAGTGCGTGTGTGAGTGTTGGAGTATGTGAGTGTGTGTTGGAGTATGTGAGTGTGTGTTGGAGTATGTGAGTGTGTGTGGGTATTGGAGTATGTGAGTATGTGTGAGTGTTGGAGTATGTGAGTGTGTGTGAGTGTTGGAGTATGTGAGTGAGTGTTGGAGTATGTGAGTGAGTTTGTTTGATTATTACGTGAGTGTTTGAGTATGTGAGTGTGTTTTCTGAGTACGTGAGTGCGTGTGAGTGTTGGAGTATGTGCGTGTTTGTTTGATTATGTGAGTGCGTGTGTGAGTGTTGGAGTATGTGAGTGTGTGTGAGTGTTGGAGTATGTGAGTGTGTGTGAGTGTTGGAGTATGTGAGTGCGTGAGTGTTGGAGTATGTGAGTGTGTGTTGGAGTATGTGAGTCTGCTACAGCAGAGGTGTAGGGAATTCCAACAAGACCTACATCTCTGCTTTATTGACCTGGTCAAGGCCTATGATACCATCAGTAGGCCTGGGCTCTGGGTTGTTCTTCGTGCTTTTGGAGTACCTGACCCTCTGCTCACGATCATTAAGGACCTTCATGATGGTGAGCGGGCCCGGGTAAAACTACGTGGCCGGGAGTCAGAGCCATTCCCTGTACACCTTGGGGTGCGACAGGAATGTCCTCTGGCTCCCACATTATTTAACATCTACTTTGACCACGTAGTTCGTGAAGCCTTCAATAGCTGTACCGGGGGAATCTCCATATTGTACAGATATAATGGGAGGCTGATCGATGCC